AAAGCAAGAAAGCTGGTGTGAAGCAGGAGAGAGGCCAAGAAAGGTGGGTATGGGCTTCCTTGTTGGCATCATGGAAATGACAGGTGTGGTGGTTTGAAGATAACTGGTCCCCATAAGCTCATAGGGAGTGGCACTATTAGGAGGTGTGGCTTTGTGGGAGTGGGGGTGGCCTTGTTGGAGGAAGTGTGTCACTGTGGGGGTGGACTTTGAGGTCTCCTATGCTCAAGCTATTCCCAGTGTCACAGTTGACCACCTGCTGCCTTCTTGTCAAGATGTAGCCAGCACCACGTCTGCCTGCATGCTGCCATGCTCCCCACCATGATGATAATGGACTGAACCTCTGAAACTATAAGCACGCCACCACAATGAAATGTTTTCCTTTATAAGAGTTGTGGTGGCCACGGTGTCTCTTCACAGCAATAGAAAGCCTAAGACAATAGGCCATGGCTGTAAATGGGCTCAAAAATCACAGCATGAGAAACAAGCCTGAGTGAGAGACACTGGCTAAGGCAGATTTAAAAGAAGTCTTTAGTTGAGGTTCCTGAATCTGAGAGGTTCGTGTGGATACTGTAGTCCGTGAAGATGATGGGCAGGCCAGAGATGAAGGCATGTGAGTCAGGGTTGCTAATTAATCTGGCAAAGGAAATTTCAAGGCAGCCTATATTTATCTTGTTGCAGGGAAATTGATATCTGGGGTTTTTTTTAGCCCTGTTTACAGTAAGAGTTGAGAATGAGAAGCAGTGTGGAGAGATCTGAAGAACAGGCAGCTCGGTCAACAGCAACAAAAGGCTTCTTTGAAGTCGGTGCTAAGGAAGTAAGTATGGCTGATGAGGAGATAGGTACCATGAAAATGAAGCCAAGCATCGTGTACCTGGACAACAAGATGCCCCAAGGGCAGCTCCCAGGTTGCACAGATGGCATCCCATTGTAGGCTGAGGGTAGAAATCAACTCTCGTTGGAAAGGTTGTCTCCTGGGAAGGAAGTGCTGCTGTGGCCCTCTGCCCACAGAGGCCTGCCTAGGATGCCACAGCCCCAGGATTTTCTCATTGTGATTAGCAATTCCGACTCAGAGGCCACTGAAGACATGGTCCCAGGGACCAGGCTACTCGGGGAGCCAACTGAAGACCTTGGCATTGCCCATGTGATGCTGCATTGACAGGAAACTGGAAAGTAAGAATTTCTTTGTCATAGAAAAGAAGGGAAGATGAGTTTCATCTGGAGATGGAAGGGGGTGAGAGAGGGAACCGGGGTGAAAAAGACTAAAATTTGTTATATGAATGTATGAATCTGGCCAAGAATAAAATGAATATATAAATTTTGTGGTATGTTTGCTGCCATCAATTTTTAAAATATGGAGGGGGTCTAGGGAGATGGCTCAGTGGTTACGAGCACTTGGTTGATCTTGCAGAGGATCTGGCTTGGGTTGCCTACACCCATGTGGTGGCTAACAACTATCTAGACCAGCTCTAAGGAATCTGACTCTCTCTTCTGGCTTCTGCAGGCATGAGGCATGCATGTGGTGCACATATATTCATGCAGGCAAAACATATATACACACATAGAATTAAAAAAATAAAACAAAAGGAAGGAAAAGGAGGAAGATGAAGAGTATGAGGAGAGGAATTATGACTATGATTAATTATTACATGGTCATAGAGGTTTCCAGTCATATTTCAAAGGAACATCTGGGGGGCCAGGCAGCATGCAGCAGTGTGAGAATCCCTGCCGAGCTCTGCTGAGTGGTGCATGGAGCTGTGAGCATGGAGCTCACTTTAACTGGTGAGCTAGAGATGCAGCAGAGTGTAAGAAACTAGAGATGCCAGAGATATTAAATATCTGTTGAGAAGAGCTGCGGGCAGAGAGCAGAGCCTCCCAGGAGTCAGGCCGCGTGGGCTGCAGCCAGCAAAGGTGGCACCCAAGCCCTTTGGTGCTCACGTCATACCACAGTGTGCACTCTGAATGCTGGACATGAGACCACAGGATTTAATGTTTGCCCTGCTGGGGCTTTGATCTTGTTTTTCCTTACCCCTCCTTCCTATGCCCTCTTCTGTCCTTTTAGAATGGAAATGTTTGTTCTAAACCATTTAAATTATATATAACTTTTTATATAACACACACACACACACACACACACACACACACACACACACATATATATATATATATATATTTATAACTTTTTAAAATGTTTTAATTTTGGTAATTTACAAAAAAATTTATTTTTTTAATAATATTTTTGCTAAAAGACAAATTCACGGGCTTCTTCATGGCATTTTCACACACACATCTCATTATTTTTGATCCCATTCATTCCCTTCTCCCATTGCTCAATGTGCATCTCTTCCACTGGTCCTCTTTCAACACCCCCCCCCCCCCGTGAGTCTCCACATCCTCTTTCCTAACACACGTATTCCATAACAGCGTCTGTTTCACTTCTCTTAAGATCTTTCCCTCCCCTCCCAATCCCCCTTTCTAGTTTCATGACCTACCAACATACTACTGTGTTTAGGAGTGTGTGTGTTTTGTATGAGCTCACAGCTGCAAGTCTGTCTTCAGTTTCAGAGGAGATCTGGAACTTTTAAACAATGTTAAAACTACTTAAACAATGGGGACTTATTTTTAAACGTGTGTGTGTGTGTGTGTGTGTGTGTGTGTGTGTTCATGTGCACACACATGTGCATGTGTGAAAGTTGAAAGACATTGCGTAGGAGTGGCTTCTCACCTTCTACCAGGGATCAAACTCAGGTGGTCACCTTTGCCCTGTGAGCCGTCTGACAGGCCTGCAGACTATGCCTTGTGGTACGCACCTGTAATCCCTTGGGAGACCAAAGCAGGAGGACTGTAGTAAGTTTGAGGCTGCCCTGGCTTACGCACCAAATTTCAGGCCAGCTAGAAATGTATAGTGATGCCCTCCTTCCGAAAACAAAAAGAGATAAGAAGGACTTTTGAAGACAAACTAAATGTATTTTACATTATGATATGGCCTTGGGACTTGGGGGCCAGGAACGGGATGTTATGATTCACTTATAAAGTATCCCCTGAAGGGCTCCCAGTGTGTTAAAAGTTTGGTCCCCCAGCTGATGGATTCAACCACTGGGAAGCAGCTGAAGCCTACATACAGGCTGTAATTCGATGGATGGATGAATCCCTCGGTGATTTCATAATATGATAGCATCACCTCGAGGCTGGATGAACTTGATGCATGGGTCATTGCAAGCATGTGCTGGAAATTTACACCTTTCCTCAACTGCTTTCTTGTCTCTCCTTTCTTCCTGGACTCTGTGAGGTTAGCAACTGTCTTAGTTTGTATTTCTATTGTTGTGATAAAACACCACAACCAAAAGCAGCGTGGGGAAGAAAGTGTTTATTTGACTTATGCATCCTGGATCATGGTCCACTGAGGGGAGCCAAGAAAGAAACTCAAACAGGGCAGGAACCTGGAGGCAGGAGCTGATGAAGAGACCATGAAGGAGTGCTGCTTACTGGCTTGCTCCTCGTGGCTTGCTCAACCTGCTTTCTTATAGAACCTGGGACCACAAGGCCAGAGATGGCAACACCCAAGTATGGTGATATTTTATTTGTGCTGAAATGTGATTTTATTTGTATGTTAATAAATAAAGTTACCTGGGGATCAGAGCTAATAGCAAGCCATAGCAGAAGTTTGGCAGTGGTAGCACCCGCCCTTAATCCCAGTCACATGACAGGCAGATCTCTGCGTGTTCAAGGATGCCACCAGCATGGAGACATGCCTTTAATCTCAATACCAACCATAGACAGGTTGTGTCTGTATAGACAGGTAGTGATGAGGAGGTCATGTGGTTAGGCTTACAACCAATAAGAAGGCAGAACAGAAAGCCAATAAAAAAACAGACACACAGGAAGTAGTTCTCTTTCTGAGGGGAAGGACGGCAGCAGCAGCGAAGGGTAAGAAAGGGTTTTAGTATCAGCTCTCAGCTACGGCTCTGACCTCTCGGGCTTTTAACTCTGCATTTGGCTCTGTGTTCTTATTTAATAAGACTGTTACATCTACACCCAAGTCCTTCCCCATCAATCGTCAATCAAGAAAATTCACCACAGGCCAGTCTACTAGAAGTGTTTTCTCAATCGAGTTTCTCCAAATGACTCTAGCTTGTGGCATAGCCAGAACAGCAACTTAGCTTTCTTGCACCCTGCTACCCTGGAGTGCTACCTCAGCCGCCCAGAAGCAATGGAGCCTGCTGGCCCTGAACCAGGGCCTCTCAATCTGAGCTGAACTAAACCTTTGCCACTTGGGTTGTTTCTGTAAGTGGTGGAAAGCTACGCAGACTGATATCCAGAAAACACAAACTGTCAAAACCTCAACAGCAACAAACCAAGTGACCATTTTTACAAGGAGCAATACATTTAACTAGATACCCTTCAAAATGAAAAGTAAAAGTGGCCACTTGATATGTGACAAAATGTTCATCAGAGAAATACAAATCAGAATCACATGGAGATAATGCCTCACCTCTGCAAGAATGGCTGTCACATAAAAGACTAAAGATAACAAACGTTGGAGAGGATCTGAAGCAAAGAGAGCCCTGTGCACCCAGTAAGTGGGAACATACATTGGCCACCATGGGAAAAATAGATGGAGGTTTCACAAAAAAATTAAATGTAGAACTATCACGTGACCAGCACCCCACAGTGGGGTAAATATGTCAAGGAAATGAAGTCATTGCGCTGAAGAGATATCTGCACGCTCATGTTTACTGCAGTGATAGTGGGAACAGCAAAAGCCAGGAACAACCCAAGTGTTCATCAGCTGTGACGACGGACATGTGGCACTTACATGTAATGACACCCTTCTGCCATAAACTAGATGAAATTCTGTTGTTTGTGACGACGTACAGGAGACTGAAGACGATGTCAGGTGATACCAGTGATACCAGCCAGGAAGACGATTGTCGTGTGCTATCCAGCCATCTATGAGCTCATAAAGCAGGGAGTAGACTTAGAATGGTGGCCGTCTGGGGAGACAGTGTTGGGGAAAGGCTGCTCACAGGTGGAATTCCAGTTGGTTAGGAGCACAGCGTTTCCTTGTGGGTGGTGAGGTGGTTCGGCGGATGAAGGCACCTGCCACTGGGCCTGACAATCCGAGTTTCTGGACCCACACGGCAGAAGGAGGTAACCAACTCCCACAGCATTCCTCTGCCACACATACACCCACACATACATTTACAGAAAACTGTAATTTTTAAAGTTCTGTTGTGTTTTTGAACAATAGGATACTACAGATCACAACAATGTTCTCTATATGCCAAATGGCAAGAAGGAAGGACTTTGATTTTACCATAAAGAAATGATCAATGTCTCAGGAGATGAATATGTTTAACCTGATTTAAACAGTATACAATATATACATGTATTAAAACATCAATAAAATATACAATTTAATGTTTTCATGTACTAGTTAAAATGAGAAAGAAAAAATTTCTAGTCTCTAAGATACCAGACCTTCCCGTGAAGCGGGTTTGTGTCAAGGTGGGAAAAACCACCAGCCCCGAGTGGGAGCAGAGTAGCTGCCCCACATGCCCATCACAGGTAGTTACTGGCACGCCGGGAGAAAAGGCAGGGACCTGAGGGACTGATTGAAAGTAAGTTAAAGTTTGCCGAGAACCAAAGATTTCCTATTTTCCTCCCCGGGTGCTTCTGGCCAAGAGTGACAGTGAGTCTCAGCTCCTGCACCCAAGCTGAACAGCTGCTACACCCAGTCAGGGCTGTGTATTGGCCCCATGCTGATGGGAAAGCAAAAGATCCACAGACAAGAGTCTGAGACCACCGGCGGCGGCGGCGTCCAAGAAAGCAGCATGCCCAGCGCCCTTGGGAGCTGTGTTTCCTCCGATCTCGCCCTTGTCTTGCTCAGTATGTTCCCGCAGCACAGGTTTCCACGCTGCCCCTGAAGCAGCCAGACACCCTCCACCTCAGGGCCTTTTCCCTTGACCTCCTAAACAGGAAATTGCCTTATTTTTACACTCCTGCTGTGTTTCTCTTCCGATGGTCCGTTATCCATAGCGACCCTCCATGAGAAAACAACTTCAAGCACTTCCTATTTCTTGTCTTGTTCTATTTCCTACTTAAACTCAAGACTTCCTTTTTATGTATGTGTGCATGATATATCTTCCCTTCTATAAAAACAAGCTTTTTGAAGAGGAGTCTGAATTCTTTCTATTACGGCATACTCTGGGCATCTGCGGTAGGACCGATGCTCACTAAGTACTCTACAGTGCTTATGAATAAATGAACAAATGATAAACACCAACATCTTGGCCCTCCTTCCCTCCCAGTTAACTCTTTCTAGTTGCCATGGTCAACTCCAAATGTCTTTGAGATAGAAAAGCTGGGTTCAGGGTCTGCCGGCATGGTCATGCACACCCAACTGTGGCCAAGAACTCCCTTGGCAAGTGCTCTGTTTTAATGACCAGCCTAGACAGTTAGACACTTCCTTAGCCGTTCATTTTATATATCTGGAGACTGACAGAGAAGTGTTGCCTAGGGTCAAAGGTTGGGCTTGCAGGTATTTTTGGCTTTATACTATAGAAACTTTGAATCTTTTATATAATTTTCCAGGGATATGTAAAAAGAATGTGACTACATGGAAAATATTTTGTTGTTTTTGAGCATGGCCCTCTACCTTCAGACCTACATGGTTTAAGTATTGGAATCATGACACAGGGAATTTCATGTATGAAAGGAATTAGTTAATATCTGTCGTCTAGTTACTTCGCTGTTTTAAAAGATGTGCTCTGCTAAGAAGAATCAGTACAACCTAATAACTTGTTTAAATTCTTACAAATGCCAGTTACATACACACACATGTGAGTGCATATCTAAATTATTATCATTGGCTATGTTCTTATTAATTATTGGGCACATAATATCCAGTTAGGCACTGTTGGCGCCTGGAAAGTGGAGACATTTAATGCTTTGCTAAGTAGAAAATAAGGACTGCTTTCACCAGCCAAGGTACAACCTAAAACCATTTTTTGTTGAGTGACAGAAAATGTTTTCAATTTTTTAACTTTCTTTTTATTTATTCTTTGTGTCTTTCACATCATGCATCTCGATCCCATTTATTTCCCATTCATGCATATCTGCCCTCTGCCCTTAAAGCACCCCCTGATAGAGAAAAAAAGAAATAAAAATGGGAAAAAATTCTCATCACAGAAGCTGTAGTGTGACACATTGAGCCACACAGTGAACCTTTTGTCCATATGTCTTTACTTGCAAGCGTTCATTGCAAAGAGTCATTGATCTGGTTTGAGGCCTCTGGTTTCTGCAACACTGTTGATGCTGGGCCCTCACTGGGACTCTTCTTGGATATCCTGTTGTTGCCCTGTGTCATGGAGATCCTGCAGCTTTGGGTCTGTAGGACTGGTCCCTTCATGTGTTCCAGTAGATCACAGATGGGATAGACATTGTGGTGGGCCAACCCATAGCCCTGGTTCTAGGCCTGGGTAGTTGCAGGGTTGGTCAGCCCACCTGCTCCCCCTTGTCCTCACCACTAGGGTACGCTCTCCTGCTTTGCCCTGTAAGTTCACTGCTTGCAGCTAGGAGCAGCAGGTGGGGCCCTCTCTCCTGCCCTCAAGTCCTCAGGTCTGATCTCCCATACCTATAACTTCAAGGCCAGCTCTCCTATGTTTCCCAGGCATGGCACAGGGGCCATTCTCTTATGACCTCAGGCCCAGCTCTCCCACCTGCCCCAGGCATTGATGGGCAGGGTCAGAGCATCTCTCTCCAGCCCATGCTGCCACATGACAGACAAGTAATGGGGACAGCTCTCTCATGCTCACAATATCGGGGCTGGCTCACCCACACCTCCACCCATTGGGTTGGCTCCATTGTGCTGCCCAGGAGAGGTACAGGGCCTGCTCTCCCAAGTGTTGCAGCTGGTGGCAGGCAGGGGCAGCTCTCCTGCCCTTCTGATCTCAGGGTCAGCTGTCTCACTGTCACACCTGCCTCAGACATTGATGGGCAGGGTGGGGTGTTTTAAACTTTTAAATAAAAGTAAAACATCATGGCTGAAATTACTGTTGCCAACTAAATTTTCTTGTATAAGAAGTTCTTCTGCCCTTCAGACTATCCTGTAGAATTTTCTCCTTCGTCTTGTCTGTGTAAGGATGGCCATGAGAAAAGTGAGTGATTACTTAGGCCTAACTTAGGGACAGGCGCACATTATTTTAAAGATTTATTTATTTATATATACAGTGTTCTGCCTGCATGTACGCCTGTAGGCCAGAAGAGGGCACCAGATCTCATTGCAGATGGTTGTGAGCCATCATGTGGTTGCTGGGAATTGAACTCAGGACCTCTGGAAGGGCAGGCAGTCAGTGCTCCTAACCTCTGAGCCATCTCTCCAGCCCGCGCACATTATTTTAAACAAGGTAACAGGTAGACATTCTGTTGTTCCAAGATCTGAAAGGCACTCCTCATGTTGTGTCGTCCCCCCCCGCCCCGTCCCAGTCCCTGTCCTCATCTCCGCCCCCCCCCCCCCCCCCCCCCCCCCCCCCCCCCCCCCCCCCCCCCCCCCCCCCCCCCCCGTAGATTTGGAGTGACATTTGACAGAGGCTGAGATGATGAGTTCAGACAGCTGGAGGGAATTTGAGCTGTATTAACAACATCTGGGATACCAAATTCCCTGAGGTTTGGGTATGGTTGGAGTGTGTTCCCAAAGAATTCATGGGTCAAAGGCTTGGAACTTACTTTGATGATGTTGTGAGGGAGTAGGGGGACCTAGTAGAAGGTCCTTAGATCAGGGAGGTCTCTGCCCAAGGACAGGTTAACAGAGGCATCATGGGATGCTGAGTTCTCCAGAGACATAGTTGTTTTAAGAGGGAGCCAAAGCCCTGAATCACTCTCTGGCTTCCTGTCTGGCTGTGTGTTCTCATCCTCCCACTCTCACCATGCTGCCAATGGCCCTCACAGAGCCAAGCTGAGTCTGGCACAATGCTCCAAGACTCTGTAACTGTGAACTAAATAAACCTTTAAAGTTGGCCTGACTCAGGTATCTAGTATAACAATGAAAAACAGGGGAATTACAACTTTGCATTAGACCTACTATATCCAAAGCCCCAAGTTCAATCCTTAACGTGAGAAAAAAAAAAATTTAAAAATTAAAAAATGAAAAACCTAGGGAAGATCCCGGAAAACCTGGTAGCCAACAAGGTATGGCACCACAGTAGTGTAAGTGTGTCTGTCCTACAGAGGAGAGAAGGTGTCACTCCTGTAACTTGAAGGAGAACAGAGCCAGATGCAACACAGACAGTGTGTGTGTGTGTGTGTGTGTGTGTGTGTGTGTGTGTGTGTGTGTGTGTGTGTGTGCAGCAAGTCCTAGTGACCAAAGTGAAGGCCAGTGGTTTTGTTGTTTTGTTTTGTTTATTTTTTATGTGTGTGAGTGTTCTGACTGCATGCACATGGACCATGCACATGTCTGGTACCCACAGAGATTAAAAAACAAAAGGTATTAGATCTCTTGGAACTGGGGTTACAGATGGTTATAAACTACCCTGTGGGTGCTGGGACTCGAATCTGGGTCCTCTGCAAGAGCAGCCAGTGCTTTTGACCATTGACCTATTTCTGCAGCCTCTCTAGTTTAGTTTTGCAGCAGCTGACCTCGTGTTCCTTGTAGTAAATTCCTAGGAAATCGCTGCGCCTTCAGTGGTTTCCTGCGCTTACAAAAGAGTGTGAGAATACTATTGAGTGGGAATACATTATTAAGGACTATTTTAATCTTAATCTATTAATGGCTTTCTAGCTGACAAAGACATAGGTAGAGATGGAATTTCTTGGATTGTGTGCTTGGAAACACAAGGACGATGTGAGATTTGGGCATCCAGGCTTCAGAACGTATTGAGAGGCTCTGGTTCTCTTCCTCTCAGAACTCGGCCCTTTTCTACTGAGTTTCAGCCTCTTCTTCCACCTGGGGGCAAACTGACTGTAGAAGTTCCACCTCCAATGTTGTCAGGCCAAGGGAAAACATTTGCCTCTGTCCCAGAAACCTTAGTTAGCAAAGACTTCATTGTACCTTAATGGTTCTGGTGGGCCATGTATCGACTCTGAAATGAGATTTTTTTTTTTAAAAACAACTGAGTCTAAAGTTCAGCCAGATATTCATTTACTGGCCTTTGACTAAAAAGGAACATTAGGGAGCCGGCACAAGGCCTGAGATCATTCTGTAGATACTTTTGAAAACCTATATGCAATGACTTGTATTTATGCAATTAGAGCCCAGGTGTTAAGGTATTAAGCACGCACACAAATGAATATATACTCATAAATCGACCAGGGCCAAATGACACTCAAGTGGGACACAGATTTTGGTTGAGGGAAGTAATCCTCGTACAGTGACATCATCTGAAAGCTGATGACAAGCATACCCGGAGCAGTGTGGCAATGAGAGGTGGTGACTGATAACCAGGAACATCCCGGGCATACTGAAAAAACAGGTGTGCACGCTCTACGAGAGACACCTGTCATATTTTTCCTCACCCAATATCCTTGTCGCATCTTTGTCCCGTCACCTCTGAGGAACCTGCCTCCTGTAATTTAGACCTGACCACAGAATTGGCTCCTCCAGGCTGCGGTGGTGGTTCAGGGATGAGCACTTAATGGCCAGTTAGACTGTAGGCTTCTCTGGACACTTTCTTTTGATAGCATCGGAAAACACGGTATGGTTAAGCTGTGGCTATTAAGCTGAAAGTGTGAGACACGTGGACAGGAGCGGACTGTATGGTTAGAGGAATACAGACCCTGGGCATCTGTCTTAGCAAATCTCTTCCTAGCAGGATTGACTCAAACAGAAGTCATGCCAGGATCAGCTATGACTGAAGAAAGCTAAGAGTCATTTATTTGGGGCTACAACCCACTCTTTCTGGCCTCTGTCATGATCACCTTGTAAAAAGGCCTTAGAGAATAAGGTTTTGTCTCAAATGAAATAATCTTATAGCAGTGCCAAAGGCCTTGCCCTCTACTGAACACAATAGAGCAGAGAGAGAGAGAGAGAGAGAGAGAGAGAGAGAGAGAGAGAGAGAGAGAGCGCAAAACAAAGCAAAACAAAGCAAAACAAAATTCTGGCTAAGAATAATCTAGAGGAAAAGGCCAAAAGATGAGCAATAACGTGTTCTCGACTTGTAGCAGCCAGGGAAGCTACCAGCGCTGCTCAGGTTGGCCTGCTTCAATTCCAGGAACCCAAAGATAAATTCGAAGCAGGGATTAAAAGGCCTGCTGTGCTGAGCTCCACTGTCTTGGCTCATGGACAAGAAGTGGAACTTGTGACCAAAAGGGACACTCCAGAAAGAATTTCAATGAAGTACAACTTGAGCAAAAACAATAAGTTACCCAGATTTCTTGGATCATGGACAGAGGGCTTGGCATGTGGCGTGAATGTCATCAGCAAAGAACACAGCCTTGATTGGTCGTTATGGAGCCCACTGCCCACGTGGTCCCCAAGGGCCGGCTTCCTAGTAAACTCTATTTGGTGAGTGCCAATCGGCTGTCTTCTCTTTTGCTGTTTTTAACTCTGTTCAGATGATTCCCACAGAAATCTTTCCCACCCTAGACATCATGGTAAATATTCTTTACTTAGATGTCATCAGAGTTTGGCTTTGTGAGGATGTTTCCTTTGGGAGTGTAGAAGAAATACCGAGGGTGGAAATGTAAAATAGCTCAACCCTTCGGAGAATTGTTTGGCAGCTTCTCATAGCAATAAATACACAGCTCCCCTCTGACCCAGCAGTTCCCATCCTAGACATTTACCCAAGAACAACAAAAATACATGTTCACACAGCATCTTTATTCATAATAACCCCAAACTGGAAACAGCCTAAATAAATACCAACGGGAGAATAAATCAACAAATTGTCATATGTCATTACTACTTAGGAATGAAAAAAAAACAGATTACTGGTATTAATAAATCTCCATTATGCCAACTTTGGGGGGAAAAAAAAGCCAGATGCATGATACAAAAATCAGACAATATGATTCTAAGCTGACATGTAAGAACCCAATGCCTTTTTATGATTATAATTATACCTCAATTAAAAGAGATAATCTTCCCCTGTGAAATATGACTGACATGACTTCTGCATAATCTCACACTTTCAGGACTTGAAACCATACTTCCTGCTGCACCTTGGAATGTCTTATAAGGTAAGGCCCAGAAGAATTTGACACCAACAGTTGCGAATTACAAATGAGAGCTACTGAGGAGACACTTGCTAAATCCTGGGGCCCAGGAAAATGCCACAAGGCTTGTTTCTTCCCACAATGGGAAGATACGTCTGATACTGTGGCCTAGAAAGAGGTAAGCTGCAATTCCAGCCATTCTGGTTCTGGGGGTTCACACAAAGCTTTAACTGGAACTGAACCCTGCAGAGCAGAAATACAAACTCCTGTGTAGTCATTTTTAACTCTGCCTTGCAGGACCACTCCTTGTTTCTCACTCTATTCTTACTTGTATCTTACAACTCAGTTCTTTATTTTTCATATCAAACGTTGCTTATTAGGTCAGCAGTGTAGTAAAAAAGTTAAAAGCATGGTCTGTGTAATCTGTAAGAACTTAGTTCAAATTCTTACTCTGTGCCATCCTATCTAAATTTGAGGAATGAAGTTAACTTACACAAGGGTTGAGAGCCTTTTATTCGGCACAGGCTGTCTTCCAAAGAGGGAAGACTGAAAAAAGAATGTATTACATTCGTCAAAGCTGCCAATCCATTTTGCCATCTGGGGACGGGGGGCGAGGGGTGGGGGCTGTGGTAGGCTGTTGTGCTAACGGAAAGCATGAAGCTGGGGAAATGGCTAAGGCTGTCAAGGCCTTTCCTTGCAGGCATGACAATCTGGGTTCAGCTCTCCAAACCCACATAAAAGCTGCGTGTGATTGTGTGCACTTGTAATCCAAGCATTGTGGAAGAAGAGCCAGGAAGATCAATGGGGGTCACTGCTCAGCCAGTTTAGCCTAATTGGTGAGCTCCAGGCCACTGAGAGAACCTGTCCCAAAGGTACAGCGTTTCTGAAAATTATACCTGAGGTTGTCCTTTGGTTTACATGCGCGCGCGCGCGCGCGCGCGCGCGCGCGCACACACACACACACACACACACACACACATTCTAAAATGACAAAGAAAAGAAGCATGAGGAGTAAGGACAGAGTCATCTTTGAATGAGATCATAAAATGTTTACACCTTTTCCCGACACTATCTACTGTGACCCGGGCACTATTATCTGTGCTTTATGAACACAGAAGCCTAGGTTTGAAGTCACAGACTATGTCAACTCAAAGGTGACAACTGTAAGCAGCTGCACCTTCTGTGAATGACATCCGTTTGAAGTTGTATTGAACAATTAAATACATCGGGACAATGTACAAATAACAAAGGCACACTGCGGTGAATTTTTACAAGTTGACTGTGCACACCCAGTCACTGCCCACATTAAGAAATGGAAGACAGGAGGAGAACGCAACTAGGTCTGTGTTTCTCATCTTGCACAAAAACGCAACTCCAGATGCATCGAAAGCCTCCACATAAGGCCAGATACCCTGCATCTGACAGAAGAGAATGTGGAGAACAATCTCTGGCACAGGAAGGGACCTTCTGAACAGGACACAGCTGGCACAGGCATTAAGACCAAAAGCTGATACGTGGAACCTCATGAAGCTAAAAATTTCTGTATAGCATAAGACACCATTACTCAAGGAAAATGGCAGCCCACAGAATGGGAAGAAATATTTGCCAGTTATACATCTGACCGAGGGTTAATATCTAGACTATACAAAGAACTGAAAAAACTAAACATCAAAAAATGAATAACCCAGTTTAAAAATGAGGCATGGGACTGAACAGAGAGTTCTCAAAAAATGAAACACAATGGCTGAGAAACACTTTTAAAAATGTTCAACATTCTTAACCATCAGGGAAAGATAAGCTAAAACCACTTTGAGATTTATTTCCTACCCTCGCCAGAATTACTTGGGTGACAGCGTATCTTGATGAGGATCCAGGCAAAGGGGACCCTTATTCACTGCTGGTGGTACTGCAAACTAGTAGAGTCACTACGAAAATCAGTGTGGAGGGTCCTCAAAAAGCCGAAAATGAACTTCCCTTGAGATCTACCTATACTACTCTTGGGCGTATCCCCAAAGGACTCTGTGTGTTACTGCAGAGATACCTGCTCATCCATGCTCACTGCTGCTCAAGCCAGGAACTGGAGACAGCCTGTACGTCTGCAAACTGGTGAACGGGCAATGAGATGTGGTACATCGACACAATGGAATGTCATCCAGCTTTTAAGAAAGATGAAATTAGCAGGTGCATGGAAGCTGCTGGAGACAACCAGCCAGAGTGAGATCAGTGCATGGTGCAACTCTCACCAAAGATGCTTTGTCTGCAGGACATGGGAATTGACACTGGGCCACAGCTGTCGACATGCAGAGAATAAAAGACTTCAGAGGCTCATCCTTGAAGGTCATCTGTGTCACACCCCTAGAGGATATATGTGGAAGAAGAGGAGGGAGGAGAGTAAGAGCCAGAGGTGGTGGATGGCATCAAGAAAACAATGGTTTGCAGAAAACAATGGTTTGTCAGGTAGCGGTGGCGCACGCCTTTAATCCCAGCACTCGGGAGGCAGAGAGCTAAGTGGATCTCTGTGAGTTCGAGGCCAGCCTGGTCTACAGAGCAAGATGCAGGAAAGGCACAAAGCTACACAGAGAAACCCTGTCTCTAGAAAACCATAATAATAATAATAATAATAATAATAATAAAAGAAAACAGTGGTTTGCAGACACAACAGGGCAGATGCACACACAAACTCACAGCAGCTCTGACAGCATGAGCTGAACGAGACCCGACAAAGCTCAAGCCAGACAAAACTCTCTTGTAAGAAGAGGTGGGTAAAAACCCTCGCCCCTAGCTGAGGCACCGTTAGCACTTGATTGCTGCTGGGATATGAAAAACCCGTTTTCTTCAGTGATGTGACACACTCAGTGAATTAAACACACCCCAGGGCAAGCCGCACACCCAGAAATAGTCAGCTGATACCAACTGACTCGAGGGGTTTAAAGAAAAAGGGAGAGAATGTGAATTTGGATGCATAGGGCGGTGGGGGAGAACCTGAGAGGAGCTGTGGTAGAAATATTGATGGGAGTACATTGTATGTAACTCAATGAATTAATAAAAACCAGTAATTTTTTCCATTTGTTGAAATTAATTTATAATTGCATTATTTTCTTCCATCTCTTTTTTCCTTCCAAACATTCCCAAGCACCAATTTGGGGGCTCTTCCCTGGGGAAGACTATCTTCCCCATTGTCTGTATTCCATAGTCGCCCATGGTTCTTTGTGTAGGGTTGGGGCCCCATGAAATCTCTTCCTTCCCTGTTGGTGTCGTCTTGGCTCAACTCTTGTTGAGGCAGCCATATTGAGACTTCATGGATATAACTTCTCTGACGTTTCTAGGAGATGAAATCTCATAGCAAACTTCCTGATCCTGGGGCTCTTGCAGTCTTTCTGTACCCCATCTTCCACTATGATTCCTGAGCCTTAGGTGCAGGAATTGTAGATGTATCGATTGGGGCTAAGCATCACACAGTTGCTAGTTCTCTGCATTTTGATGGGTTGTGATTTCCTGTAATGGTCTCCATCTATTGGAAACAGACATTTTCTTTGATGAGGGTTGAGATAAATATATATATGGATAGATTTTTAGAAAGCAGTTAGGAATTATTCTGGTTTGGTAAAGCAATAATTGTAGGTTCTCTCTCAAGATCCATGACTTTACTCATCCCTGGTAGTTGGTTAGGTTTCCCGTGCCAGGCATGATTTCTCTTTTGTAGAGGTCTTAAGTCTAGTTAGGGAGCTGTTGGTTACCACCAAGGTATGCATGTGACTATCGCAGCCTTAGGGTTATTGTGCCATGCTGGTCATCGATGCAGTCCAAAGGCATCCTAACCGGGTAGAACTGTTGGTGGTATCTCTCCCTTGGAAGCTGGCCTGGGGTCCTCTGGTACTATGAAAGCTAGTCTTCAAGGAGGAGGCTTTGAGGCCAGAACTAGCTTGGATCCTCTGAGTACTGTGTGCAAAGCACATGGTGCCTTCAGCAATAAGGATTTACCTTCAGCCTCTGGAAGGCAGCCAAGGGCAACAGCAATAGCTTCTGTTTGGAGAGTCTTTTGGATAACCCTGATCAACAACTCAAAAGGGGTCTTCCTATGCCCGATACTGGGGTTTATGCTAGATGGTCTATAGTTTTTGTGGGAAACATTGCCATCCCAGGCAGGAAAATTTTATTCAAACTATATATGCATATGTACACACAGACTTATATGAAATCTATGTAATTTTAGACAGATAGATAATAATATGACTTTTCCAGTCACCCCTCTTGTTATTTTACCTCTCTGTTCTTCTTCTGTATTAATACCTCTCCCCTCCCCTAGTTAAGGCCTCCCCACCCATTTTCCCCACTCCATCCTTCACATCACTGGTACCTGCTATTCCCCTCTCCATTGCTCCCCTCCCCCATGGTCTAGTTTCTGCAGTTATTCCAGGTTGTGTGCTCATATCTGCAGATTTGGAGCTAGGAACCACAGATGAGGGAGAGTGTGTGACACTTGTCTTTCCGGGTTTGGGTTACCTTTTCAGTATGATCATTTCAGGTTCCATTCATTTACCTGCAAATTTCATAGTTTTATTTTTCTTTACAGCTGAATAGTATTCCACAAACATGTATATACATTTCCATTATCTATTTATCAATGGAAACACATTTATGTTGTTTCAACCTCCTTGCTATTGTGAATAGAGTAACAATAATCATAGCTGAACAAGTAAGTCTCTGTGATGTAGGATGTTGAGTCCTCTGGGCATAGGCCATGGAGTGGTATATCTAGGTCGTATAAAACATCATTTTTAAAAAAGGAAGTTGAATATATGGCTGTGGTGTAGTTCATTGTCTAGCACTCAGAAGGCCCTCAGCCCTACTTCAGGACCTGCTGAGAGGGAGAGATAAAAGGAGAGAGGAAAGGAGAGAGAGAGAGAGAGACAGAGAGAGAGAGAGACAGAGAGAGACAGAGAGAGACAGAGAGAGAGGACTAAAGAAGATAAACAATAGATCATCAGCTCCCCAAAGCTAGCTCACCCCTCCATGCCAGCATTGTGCCCTCTCTGGTTGATAACTCCCCAATAGAAACCATATCTTCTAGCATCAAAATTCATTTTTCTTGTTTTTTAATTACACACACACACACACACACACACACACACACACACACACCAAAATCATGTGGAACTGAACACAGGCTTTTTCATA